CAGGTGCGGTGCAGGATAGACAGTAGGCAGAGATGGTGAAACAAGAATCTTTACTGGTGGTCCCAAAACCAGGATACAAAATAACGGACTTGTCATGATAAAATAAAGGAGAAGCAAATTGGTCTCCAAAAACAGGCTGACAGCAAACATATGAAATACTAACTACGACTGAAAACAACAGTGAAACAGGGAGAATGCTTCTCAAGAACCTGTACATACGTCTCGCGATCAGACACTGATTAGTACTGTTTGGCATCGAGAAACTAACAGAGAAAACAGAGCAAGGGAACACAGGGAAGTGAGGGCATAAATACACAGGTGAACAGGTAGACACAGGTGACACCAATAAGATAATAATTAGTTCAGACTGTGAGTGAGGAGATGCCTAAGGTTGTCGGAGGATGACACCTAGTGGGTCGCTCCAGAACTGTGACCCCCTCCTGTAACAAGTGACAGAACACTGAGCCAATCATGGCGCAACTAGAGAACATTACCAACCCCTACGCTCTGTATTTTCTGCTGGCTGCCCCACCACCACCACAGAAATACTGAGCTAGGTTGAAACACCTGCATTTTGGAGCTGCCTTACTCAACAAAGCAAAGATGTTTGTATGTAGACTTTATTAACTCAATGATGATGATTATTTTATTTTTTACATAGTTTGAAAACTGATATGTGACATTAATGCCAAAAGAACATGCAAAACAGGCTAAAAATGTGGTGCTTTGCCCAACCTGCTCTCAATGACGGGCCTTTTATTGTCCCCAGCACCAGGTGCACCTGTGTAATGATCATGTTGTTTAATGAACTTCTTAATATGCCACACCTGTATGGATTGTCTTGGCAAAGGAGAAATGCTCACTAACAGGGATGTAGACACATTTGTGCACAACATTTTTTAGAAATAAGATTTTGTACGTATGGAACATTTCTGGGATCTTCTATTTCAGCTCAAGAACTATGGGACCAACAACTTTACATTTTGCTATATATTTTTGTTCAGTGTGGAAACATTAACTTTAATTCAAAATACAATATGACTTCTAGATTTATTTATCACCTGTGTGCTTCCATCTGTTCTGATCCAGGTTGCACATGTACAGATTGATCCTGGTAGAGCATGACATGAAGACAGAGGAAGGCTATGAGCAGTCCATCATGGTGGAAAAGATGATCCTCCATCCTGACTGGAGCGATAATTGTGTCTTCTGTGGGTAAGAAAGAGACATTCAAGGACCTCATGATTTGCTCAGGCATACAGTATAGTGCAAACAGGTTCTAATAAAAATGTCTGTAAACTTTTTCTGCGATATCACCACTGTGTCAATGGGAAGAGTGACTAACCAGAGTCACTTTCATAGACATGCAGCTGAATAAGTAATGGCAGACAGTGTTAACTGGCAGTGTGCCACAGGATAAAACATGTTGTACTGTACTGTGATGATTAGGTTACTTGGCTAAATTTCCATTAACAGAAAGCCCATATTGTATTGATGATCATGATTGAAGCTGAGTCATGAGACCCTCACAGTGGTGTCCTTGATGTTTTTTCTTTTACATTATAGGAATGACATTGCCCTCCTGAAGCTGGAGAGGAGTGCTATGATCAATGACAAGTTCCAGCTGGCCTGCCTTCCATAAACTGATGCCATCCTTACCCACAACCAGCCCTGCTACGTCACAGGCTGGGGGCGCCTCTACTGTAAGACTCAAACGGGTGCCCATGTAAATGTAAAATACTGATTGTTTACTTCAACTGTTGTCTCACTTTATTAGGCATTCTGTAGGCCTCTAATGCCACTTAGCTTCTAAATCAATGTAGATATTCTGATGGAAAACATAACTGGCGGTCCGCGGGTGGTTTTATTTGGACCCCCATATTTTATTGTTGGATATAAAATACTTTAAAAACACCAGGAAATCAGCTCCAAGTGATTTTAATGTATGAAATCTGTTCCCAAGTATTCCCACGCATAATAGAGACACACGTGATCGTATACAGATGTAAGCAAAGTTTTAAATTATGTTTTAGTCAAACATTATATCTAGATGTTATCATCTCAACTACTAACTGTGTACAGTACGTTTTTCTGTGACTTGTGTATGCAGTAACATCAGACATACTTCAGATTATTTTCAATGTGGCTACTGGCTTCTTTCCATCTTCTTGTGTCTCCCCAGGGTTACTCAGGTGGGGCTCCTGAACTGTCAGGGCAGAGAATGTAGGTGGTACGTCCAGGGGGGTCACCAGCCATGTGAATGGTAAAGGCTGCAACACCCCCCAAAAACCTACTGTCTTCACCCACGTTGGCTCATTCATTCCTTGGATCAGTCAGGTGAGTTATGACTCATAACTTATGAAGCCTCAGGCCTAGGCTGTGTAGCTGCTGAATAAGATCACATACAGTTTACATACACCTTAGCCAAATACATTTAAACTCAGTTTTTCACAATTCCTGACATTTAATTATAGTAAAAATTCCCTGTCTTAGGTCAGTTAGGATCACCACTTTATTTTAAGAATGTGAAATGTCAGAATAATAGTAGAGAGAATGATTTATTTCAGCTTTTATTTCTTTCATCACATTCCCAGTGGGTCAGAAGTTTACATACACTCAATTAGTATTTGGTAGCATTGCCTTTTAATTGTTTAACTTGGGTCAAATGTTTCAGGTAGCCTTCCACAAGCTTCCCACAATAAGTTGGGTGAATTTTGGCCCATTCCTCCTGACAGACCTGGTGTAACTGAGTCAGGTTTGTAGGCCTCCTTGCTCGCACACGCTTTTTCAGTTCTGCCCACACATTTTCTATAGGATTGAGGTCAGGGCTTTGTGATGGCCACTCCAATACCTTGATTTTGTTGTCCTTAAGCCATTTTGCCACAACTTTGGAAGTATGCTTGGGGTCATTGTCCATTTGGAAGACCCCATTTGCGACCAAGCTTTAACTTCCTGACTGATGTCTTGAGATGTTGCTTCAATATATCCACAAAATGTTCCTTCCTCATGATGCCGTCTATTTTGTGAAGTGTACCAGTCCCTCCTGCAGCAAAGCACCCCCACAGCATGATGCTGCCACCCCCGTGCTTCACGGTTGGGATGGTATTCTTCGGCTTGCAAGCGCACCCCTTTTTCCTCCAAACATAACAATGGTCATTATGGCCAAACAGTTCTATTTTTGTTTCATCAGACCAGAGGACATTTCTCCAAAAAGTACAATCTTTGTCCCCATGTGCAGTTGCAAACCGTAGTCTGGCTTTTTTATGGCGGTTTTGGAGCAGTGGCTTCTTCCTTGCTGAGCTGCCTTTCAGGTTATGTCGATATAGGACTCGTTTTACTGTGGATATAGATCATTTTGTACCTGTTTCCTCCAGCATCTTCACAAGGTCCTTTTCTGTAGTTCTGGGATTGATTTGCACTTTTCGCACCAAAGTACGTTCATCTGTAGGAGACAGAACGCGTCTCCTTCCTGAGCGGTATGACGGCAGCATGGTCCCATGGTGTTTATACTTGCGTACTATTGTTTGTACAGATGAACGTGGTACCTTCAGGTGTTTGGAAATTGCTCCTAAGGATGAAACAGACTTGTGGAGGTCTACAAAAAAAATTCTGAGGTCTTGGCTGATTTCTTTTGATTTTCCCATGATGTCAAGCAAAGAGGCACTAGGTTTGAAGGTAGGCCTTGAAATACATCCACAGGTACACCTCCAATTGACTCAAATGATGTCAATTAGCCTTTCAGAAGCTTCTAAAGCCATGACAAGCTGTTTAAAGGCACAGTCAACTTAGTGTATGTAAACTTCTGACCGACTGGAATTGTGATACAGTGAATTATAAGTTAAATAATCTGTCTGTAAACAATTGTTGGAAAAATGACTTGTGTCATGCACAAAGTAGATGTCCTAACTGCCTTGCCAAAACTATAGTTTGTTAACAAGAAATTTGTGGAGTGGTTGAAATACGAGTTAATGACTCCAACCTAAGTGTATGTAAACTTCCGACTTCAAATGTAGTTGAAATAATGGCACCTGAGAACTTGTAGGAATTAACTGACTGTACCGTGGTGCAGCAGAACTGGTGCAACAACACATGGATGGTTAAGTGAGTTGGTGTAAAACAAGTGGTACTGCATAGGATGACCTTTAATGTAATGTATCTTTTATTTGCAGACAATGGCTCAAAATGGGGAATAAACTCCCCATATACACTGAGTGTACAAAACATTTCCATGACAGACTGACCAGGTGAATCCAGGTGAAAGCTATAATCCCTTATTTATGTCACTTCTTATATCCACTTCAATCAGTGTAGATGAAGGGGAGACATGGATGTGTGCAATTCAGTGGGTGAATGGGCAAGACAAAAGATGTAAGCGTCTTTGAATGGGGTATGGTAGTAGGTGCCAGGCGCACCGGTTTGAGTCTGTCAAGAACTGCAACGCTGCTGGGTTATTCAAACTCAACAGTTTCCCATGTGTATCAAGAATGGTCCTCCACCCAAATGACATCCAGCCAACTTGACACAACTGTGGGAAGCATTGAAGTCAACATGGGCCAGCATCCCTGTGGAATGCTTTCAACACTTTGTAGAGTCCATGCCCTTATGAATTGAGGCTGTTCTGAGGGCAAAAGGGGGTGAAACTCAATATTAGGAAGGTGTTCCTAATGTTTTGTACACTCAGTGTAAATCCTAGATGATAAAATGCATTATAATAAAAGGTGTTAATTACTGTTCCTGTTTATTTATAACAGTCTATTGGACAAAATATATCAACATAATGGTAACAATCTACAATACAAGATTAAATGTATTTATTTAACAAAGTGATAACATTGAACTCAAAATTAGTCTTAGGCATAAGTGTTCAATTCGTGTTAGATCCAGCAGCATTTTCAGAGGTCCTCATAGCACAACAATGGAAGCTTTAGCATTCTAACCCTCATAGTAACCTTGACCTCAGATGCCAGAGGTCATATGTCAACCTCAAAGGTCAGAGGTTATGGGTCAGAGGGGTTCCAGGTGAAGAAGTCCATGCCCCAGAGCTCCTCAGGCAGGTAGTCCTGCTCCACAGGGGCACTGAAGGCAGGGTTGTACTTGTAGCCCTTAGCATAGCCCAGGTCCTTCATGAGTTTGGTGGGGGCGTTGCGAAGGTGCAGGGGAACAGAGGGCAGGGGTCCCTTATGGTTCCTCAGACTGGCCTTCACGTTATCGTACGCCTTGTAGATTTCTACCGACTTGGGAGCCCTGGCCAGGTACACCACACACTGAGCCAAGATCACCTGAGGGTGGGAGGGAAGGAAGGAGCGAGGGGAGGAAAGAAGAAAGGGAGTAGAGAGAGAATGACCTTTATTAGCGTTTTGATATGGCCAAATATCAAAAGGCATACCGGATACCAGGGTCAGAAAATACAGAGTTACTCAGGTAAAATCCAATTTCTCTGTCTTTATTGTATCCACAACATAGTAAAGAGCTGATATTTAACAGAGGCAGATACAGTGGGGAAAAACGTATTTAGTCAGCCACCAATTGTGCAAGTTCTCCCACTTAAAAAGATGAGAGGCCTGTAATTTTCATCATAGGTACACGTCAACTATGACAGACAAATTGAGGGAAAAAAATCCAGAAAATCACATTGTAGGAATTTATTTGCAAATTATGGTGGAAAATAAGTATTTGGTCACCTACAAACGAGCAAGATTTCTGGCTCTCACAGACCTGTAACTTCTTTAAGAGGCTCCTCTGTCCTCCACTCGTTACCTGTATTAATGGCACCTGTTTGAACTTGTTATCAGTATAAAAGACACCTGTCCACAACCTCAAACAGTCACACTCCAAACTCCACTATGGCCAAGACCAAAGAGCTGTCAAAGGACACCAGAAACAAAATTGTAGACCTGCACCAGGCTGGGAAGACTGAATCTGCAATAGGTAAGCAGCTTGGTTTGAATAAATCAACTGTGGGAGCAATTATTAGGAAATGGAAGACATACAAGACCACTGATAATCTCCCTCGATCTGGGGCTCCACGCAAGATCTCACCCCGTGGGGTCAAAATGATCACAAGAACGGTGAGCAAAAATCCCAGAACCACACGGGGGGGACCTAGTGAATGACCTGCAGAGAGCTGGGACCAAAGTAACAAAGCCTACCATCAGTAACACACTACGCCGCCAGGGACTCAAATCCTGCAGTGCCAGACGTGCCAGACGTGTCCCCCTGCTTAAGCCAGTACATGTCCAGGCCCGTCTGAAGTTTGCTAGAGTGCATTTGGATGATCCAGAAGAGGATTGGGAGAATGTCATATGGTCAGATGAAACCAAAATAGAACTTTTTGGTAAAAACTCAACTCGTCGTGTTTGGAGGACAAAGAATGCTGAGTTGCATCCAAAGAACACCATACCTACTGTGAAGCATGGGGGTGGAAACATCATGCTTTGGGGCTGTTTTTCTGCAAAGGGACCAGGACGACCGATCCGTGTAAAGGAAAGAATGAATGGGGCCATGTATCGTGAGATTTTGAGTGAAAACCTCCTTCCATCAGCAAGGGCATTGAAGATGAAACGTGGCTGGGTCTTTCAGCATGACAATGATCCCAAACACACCGCCCGGGCAACGAAGGAGTGGCTTCGTAAGAAGCATTTCAAGGTCCTGGAGTGGCCTAGCCAGTCTCCAGATCTCAACCCCATAGAAAATCTTTGGAGGGAGTTGAAAGTCTGTGTTGCCCAGCGACAGCCCCAAAACATCACTGCTCTAGAGGAGATCTGCATGGAGGAATGGGCCAAAATACCAGCAACAGTGTGTGAAAACCTTGTGAAGACTTACAGAAAACGTTTGACCTGTGTCATTGCCAACAAAGGGTATATAAAAGTATTGAGAAACTTTTGTTATTGACCAAATACTTATTTTCCACCATAATTTGCAAATAAATTCATTAAAAATCCTACAATGTGATTTTCTGGATTTTATTTTCTCAATTTGTCTGTCATAGTTGACGTGTACCTATGATGAAAATTACAGGCCTCTCTCATCTTTTTAAGTGGGAGAACTTGCACAATTGGTGGCTGACTAAATACTTTTTCCCCCACTGTATACGGACAACTCTTGGTTGACCTTGGTGACAAGATTTAAGTGTTTTCTCACCTCACACTCTGGCATCCCGATGAAGTGGCAGGCCTGGAAGGCAGATACAGCCTGGGGAAGGGCAGAGGGATCTGCCATACCTGAACAAAATGGACAGGACATCCAGTCAGAACACACCATAACCTTGTCTAGACCTCTTTGAGTTGTAAGGGATGACTTCCATGGCTCTGACAGACACAGAACACATTAAGGTAGACGCTAGAGAAACACAAAGTTGGCGAGGTGCAGACCAACGGAAAATAGACTCAGAAAGTAGCATACAGCTGCCAGGGCCAAAATAAGATTCCCCTGCGGTGATACCAAAGATGCTAGATCATATTTGTTGACATAATAGTTTGGTACAGGTAATTAGTGCTTGAACAACATGGTTTAAAAAAAAAAGCACATCCTCCTCCTTACGGTTTTTTCTGAGGGTGCGCCAATGCAATGGTTTATGTAATTGGGTCAACAATCACAATAACTGATTAAACAACAACAATGGTTTGATGTAAACAGAGACAAAAAAAAAAAAGACAAAATAGTATCACACACCCACGTCTTCACTAGAGAAGCGGACTAGTCTGCGAGCCACGTACAGAGGGTCCTCTCCTCCCTCCAGCATGCGGCCCAGCCAGTAGAGGGAAGCGTTCTCGTGGGAGCCCCTCATTGATTTGTGCAGCGCTGAGATGCAGTTATAGTGCTCCTCACCTTAATATAACAAACACAACAAAGTATGGGTGGATGGGTGGGAAAATAACCATATAGATATAGACAGAAATAGAAATCCATAGAAATGCACTATATATACAAAAGTATGTGGACACCCCTTCAAATTAGTGGATTTGACTATTTCAGCCACACCGTTGCTGACAGGTGTATAAAATCGAGCACACTGCCATACAATCTCCATAGACAAATATTGGCAGTAGAATGGCCTTACTGAAGAGCTCAGTGACTTTCAACGTGGCACCGTCATATTAATGCCCATGATTTTGGAATGAGATGTTTCGACGAGCTGGTGTCCACATGCTTTTGGTCATGTAGTGTACATATAACACAACACAACAACAACAAGTGGGGAGGGAAGGGGTTAGGTGAGGATGAAGAAAAATAAGACGGATCCATAAAGATATAAATAATACTAATGATATTTCTAAAGACAGATCATTGTCCAGGTGGTGTGTTATCGCCTTGTTTTAGTAACAGTACCCCCCCGGGCCAATCCCCAACGTCGTCACACACACACCTCTATTTTATTAGTCAAGCTGAGGGAAAGTTTCATCCCCCCTGGTAGAGCCCCATAGAGAAGCAGCATACACTAAATCTCTGCCCTGCCAACAGCTGAATCTCTGTTATATAAGAGGGCCAGTGGAAGGGATGTCTTGTAGTCTTACATTTTAGTCATTTTAGCAGACACTCTTATCCAGAGCGACTTACATTAGTGAGTGCGTACATTTTCATACTTGTCCCCTGTGGGAATCGAACCCACAACCCTGGCGTTGCAAGCTCCACGCTCTACTAACTGAGCCACACGGGACCATATGTTTCTTAGAATATTTCTACCTGTATCAGCAGACCTGGGTTCAAATACTATTATATGAGTTTTACAGGCACAATGGAAGAAATGAAATAGTCCTAAAAGTACAAACCCTTGCCCCATCTTGTAGCCTATTTGTAAGAACAAAAAAAATACTATTTGAATGCAGGTCTGATCCCTCGTGATCCATGGGAGGGGTGGGTTTGTTGCCAAGCTGTCCCTATGGTTTTCCATCCATCTCCCTCCAGTCCACACCCATACCATCTGAATCAGAGATAGTTGCTACTCAGAGTGACATGAGGCCTAAATTGGGCAGAGCTTCACTGGCAGCTTTCCAAAGCAAAAAGCAATACACAAAGGTTACTGGTTAACTGTAGAGGGCTTAGAAACAAATCCAGACAAAAGCCTGGTTGACCCAAGTCATTTATTTTTTTAGATCAGAAAAAATAAGAAACCTGCACACTGCTCTTGATAGTATCACTGCTCTTTAATAAGCTTTACGTATCAACCTCAAGGCCTTCGTCAGAGCTTTTGTGAGTTAAATTAAAAAAATTAGCTCCCTTATGTAGACATAGCACCACCCACATCCGTTCAATGCATCGAATGGGGTTGGAGTCGAGGGAAAATAAGTGTTACCAAATATAACAATGTGCATTTCATAAATATTCCAACAAAGTGTGTACATAAAACGCATCAAACACGTCTGTAAAACCACAATGAGGACATAGACCCACCAAGCAAGTGTTCATAAATCATTCGCTACAGCGCAAGAAAAACGTCAGAGTAATCTGAAATGGTGGCATTAATTCATGTTCACATTTACAACATAACATACATAGGCATTTCATCATTAAGACCTTTAGGACATAATGTCTGGAGGGTGAAAATCCAAAAGCATTCTCTTTTGCTCAGAGTATTATTTATATCACCTCCCCTGTCTGATATCTTAACGTTCTCTATGCCACAAAATCTAAGGTAGAAATGTCATGCTTTCTCTTGATTGAACTTTTATGTTCACTAATTCTCTGTTTGAGAGGACGAAAGGTTTTACCTACATAACAAAGCCCACATGGACATTTAATCATGTAGATGTATGTGTTAACCATTTTCCTGTATGTGGGTGGCAGAAATATTCACATTTCATCATATTGTTGCACTGTGCGCAACCTCTGCATTTATAGCTACCATTCGGAAGAGAGCGTAAAAGAGCCTGGCTCATTTTCTTTTGTGGCTGGCAGTTGGCATGTACCAATTTATCGGGTAAATTGCGACCTCTCCTATGTACAATAAGTGGTGGATTCTTAAATTCAGCTGGAAAAGCTGGGTCCAATGATAAAACATGCCAGTGTTTCTTAACAGCATCTCCCACTTTGCGCCAGTTCAAAGTACAGTTGAAGTCGAAAGTTTACATACACTTAGGTTGGAGTCATTAAAACTCATTTTTCAACCACTCCACACATTTCTTCTTGTTAACAAACTATAGTTTTGGCAAGTCGGTTAGGACATCTACTTTGTGCAAGACACAAGTAATTTTCCCAACAATTGTTTACAGACAGATTATTTCACTTATAATTCACTGTATCACAATTCCAGTGGGTCAGAAGTTTACATACACTAAGTTGACTGTGACCTTTAAACAGCTTGGAAAAATCCAGAAAATGATGTCATGGCTTTAGAAGCCTCTGATAGGCTAATTGACATAATTTGAGTCAATTGGTGGTATACCTGTGGATGTATTTCAAGGCCTACCTTCAAACTCAGTGCCTCTTTGCTTGACATTATGGGGAAAATCAAAAGAAATCAGCCAAGACCTCAGAAAAAAAATTGTAGACCTCCACAAGTCTGGTTCATCCTTAGGAGCAATTTCCAAACGTTCATCTGTACAAACAATAGTACGCAAGTAAAAACACCATGGGACCACGCAGCCGTCACACCACTCAGGAAGGAGACCTTGTGAATATGCTGGAGGAAACGGGTACAAAAGGATCTATATCCACAGTAAAACGAGTCCTATCGACATAACTTGAAAGGCCGCTCAGCAAGGAAGAAGCCACTGCTCCAAAACCGCCATAAAAAAGCCAGACTACGGTTTGCAACTGCACATGGGGACAAAGATCGTACTTTTTGGAGAAATGTCCTCTGGTCTGATTAAACAAAAATAGAACTGTTTGGCCATAATGACCATCGTTATGTTTGGAGGAAAAAGGAGGAAGGCTTGCAAGCCGAAGAACACCATCCCAACCGTGAAGCGCGGGGGTGGCAGCATCATGCTGTGGGGGTGCTTTGCTGCAGGAGGGACTGGTGCATTTCACAAAATAGATGGCATCATGAGGAAGGAAAATTATGTGGATATATTGAAGCAACATCTCAAGACATCAGTCAGGAAGTTAAAGCTTGGTCGCAAATGGGGTCTTCCAAATGGACAATGACCCCAAGCATACTTCCAAAGTTGTGGCAAAATGGCTTAAGGACAACAAAGTCAAGGTATTGGAGTGGCCATCACAAAGCCCTGACCTCAATCCTATAGAAAATCTGTGGGCAGAACTGAAAAAGCGTGTGCGAGCAAGGAGGCCTACAAACCTGACTAAGTTACACCAGCTCTGTCAGGAGGAATGGGCCAAAATTCACCCAACTTATTGTGGGAAGCTTGTGGAAGGCTACCCAAAATGTTTGACCTCTCGTTGCTCCCATCCTTGGGCCTTCCCATGCATAGACCTGGTTGAGCTGGTAGTCCTCTGTGTTTCATTGATATTTCTTGATCTTTGTTGCTTGTAGGAAGTCTCTGTATTTCCCAATGGACTGGTTGATTGAGTCGTCTATGGCTGTGAAGTTTGGGCCTAGAATCTCCTTCATTATAACCTTATGTTCACTGATCTTAACTTCAACCTCTTTTACTTCCTTCGACACATGTTCAATGATTAATAGCATTAAAATCTAAAGAACATTTGTTGAGGATTTCACCCATTTCTGAACTAAAGTTGTCGTTTTTCCCTATTGTAGGCTCCTTCTGTATTCTCAGTCCTCTTGGAATGCGCTTGTTGCGCCAATACTCACTAAGAGTGGTGCCATGCAGGAACAAACTAGTCTCTTTCTCTCAGTCTCTGGAGTTGGATTTTAAGTTCTCCAGTAGAGTGCAGAGCTAGGTTGTCCATGTTGGAGGTAGGGAAGAGGATCTTATTGGCGTCTACGTAAAAATGTATGCACACATGACTAAGTCGCTTTGGATAAAAGCGTCTGCTAAATGGCATATTGTGTGAATGAGAGGGTACTCGCACAATGCGTGGTAAGTGAGTTGATCTCTCTGATAGTGGATCCATTGTCTACTTGGTATGTCCTTTTCCTTTTCGTGTTTACTTGCGCTCGTAAATGTAAATGTACAGTTAGACCTATAGCTGGTAAAACCATCCATCCTGTATGTCCAGCTAGATTTGACATAACAATTAAGAGGCTGCTGAGTTGGGTCTAGGCTATATTTGTGTTCCTGTTGTATAGTTAACGTATATTAATCATTTCTGGGGCATCTTCAGAGGAAAGTCTGGTTAGATTTTAATTTGGCTAGCTCCTTTAACCCCATAGGCTTACTTAGGTTCTGGATTGTCTCTGGAGGCCCCCAGTCCCCCCAGGCCAATTAACCCACTGTTGTGGTGATGCTCTAGCCTGGTCCTGTCTGTCTGTCCCATCTTAGCATCATTGTATGGCGTGACAATGACCATATGAGCTGGCAAAACAGCACTAAACCCTCCATATCCCAGCCCACATCCTGAGGCATTAGCCCACATCCTGAGCCATTAGTTGTGGCTGATAAAATGATTGTTGGGGCTGTCTTGTTAGACTTCAGTGCAGCTTTTGACATTACTGATCATAGTCTGCTGCTGGAAAAACTTATGGCTTTACACCCCCTGCTATAATGTGGATGAAGAGTTACTTGTCTAACAGAACACAGAGGGTGTTCTTTAATGGAAGCCTCTCAAACATAATCCAGGTAGAATCAGGAATTCCCCAGGGTAGCCGTTTAGGCCCCTTACTTTTTTAAATCTTTACTAAACGACATGCCACTTGCTTTGAGTAATGCCAGTGTGTCTATGTATGCGGATGACTCAACACTATACACGTAAGCTACTACAGCAACTAAAATGACTGCAACACTTAACAAAGAGCTACAGTTCTTTTCGGAATTGGTAGCAAGGAATAAGTTAGTCCTAAATATTTCCAAAACTAAAAGCATTGTATTTGGGACAAATCACTCACTAAACCCTAAACATTTTAGTCATTTAGCAGACGCTCTTATCCAGAGCGACTTACAGTTAGTGAGTGCATACATTTTCATACTGGTCGCCCGTGGGAATCGAACCCACAACCCTGGCGTTGCGAGCGCCATGCTCTACCAACTGAGCTACACGGGACTAAACCTCAACTACATCTCGTAATGAATAATGTGGAAATTGAGCAAGTTGAGGTGACTAAACTGCTTGGAGTAACCCTGGATTGTAAACTGTCATGGTCAAAACATATTGATACAACAGTAACTGATGGGGAGAAGTCTATCCATAATAAAGCGCTGCTATGCCTTAACAACACTATCAACAAGGCAGGTCCTACAGGCCCTAGTTTTGTCGCACCTAGACTACTGTTCAGTAGTGTGGTCAGGTGCCACAAAGACGGACTTGGGAAAATTGCAGTTGGCTCAGAACAGGGCAGCAGGACTGGCCCTTAAAAGTACACGGAGAGCTAACATTAATGACATGCATCTCAATCTTGTTTTTGTAAGAGGTGTTGACAAGCTGAATGTACCGAGGATTCTGTTAAAAATACTAGCACACAGCTCGGACACCCATGCATACCCCCCAAGACATGCCACCAGAGGTCTCTTCACAGTCCCCAAGTCCAGAACAGACTATGGGAGGCGCACAGTACTACATAGAGCCATAACTACATGGAACTCTATTCCACATCAAGTAACTGATGCAAGCAGTAGAATCAGATTTAAAAGAACAGGTAAAAATACACCTTATGGAACAACGGGGACTGTGAAGAGACACACAAAGGTACAGACACATGCATACGCACACATTGTGATATTGTTGTATGGTGGCATTAAACATTTTGTATTGTGGATATATAGTGGTGCAATTATGTTATAAAATGTACTGTTTTATCTTTTGTTTTATATGTAATGTAAGTGCTTTAATATGTTTGGACCCCAGGAAGAGTAGTTGGCAGCAGCTAATGGGGATCCCTAATAAATACAAATAAATAAATACAAATTAGTGTGTTGACACAGCTATATTGGATAAGGCTTAAGGCAGAGGTTAAAAGAGACTGTGATCAAGTCCCCTCACCTTCCCTTTTCAGACACTAATGCACATAATATAAGAGTTATGGCGGGTACTACGTTATCTATGACCACACCAAGAAGTCTATCAATCTCCTAAGTGTCTTCTGACTAACATATTCTGGTTATTCATTGATTCCAGTAAGATGACACTCACAACAACCAGCCCTTGCTTCTAAAGCATCAATCAAGGGCAGTGGGCACCAATAGCACCTGGCAGGCTGGCACCACAGTGACATCAATGATACAGTCACTGTCTGAGGGTTTTAACCTAATTAGCGCTAGCCGTCTGGCCTGGCCTGATTCAGCTAATGTAGAGCAGGGCATATTGAAAGAGTATACTGTACGTGTTAAAGGGCACGGTGTTCTTTGGCTGGATCTGGCTGCATCTCTCAGACTCAGAGCAAAGGGAAAGTTAGTTCTCCTGATAGGACCACCACACAACAGCACATTCCCCATTCCACCAGAGACCTCTGAAACACACCTAAACTAATCACAGGCTTATTTTGCCATCCATTCCCATGAGCTGACAGGGCAGCTGCTGTAAAGCCAACCAGACAGGATGTCACCACTCTGTAATTATCAAATTGAATCATGACAAGTGACATCATTTGTCATCTAAATGTCTGTCAGTCCAGTGAGGGGCAGTGTACAATAACAACCTAGGAAAATGTAAATGTCCACTGACTGCAGTTGAATCAATAGAAAATAATGTATTCTAATGTTATGGTTGAACCATTGAGGAGCATCAAGATCATCAGTGTGCTGGAGTTTCAATTTAGTGTACAGTTTTTCTCCATGCACCTAGTAGTATGATAGGTGTGCGACTACTATACTATTTTTTATTGAACCATTGGGCTCACCTGCTTTGTCGTAGAGGATATGGGACCTCTGAAGGCCCTCCTTCACATGCTCCTCCTGCACCACAATGTCCTGTGGGGTACTGCCAGATCCTGATTGGCCAGGATGGGCTGCACCCACCAGGGCCTGAACAGCCAGCTGGAGCCCGTTTAGCCCCGCCCGGGCGTCTCCGTCACACAGGTGGGCTATGGTGTCCAGAGCCTTCTGCTCAATATAGACCTTTGGTCTACAAAACATGAAAACAAAAACACATAGAATTATAACAAATAAGAAATGTTTAGCTCTGATTATATTAGGTCTAAGTGGCACAGAGAAAAGTGACAATAACTGTGTCTTTTTGCCATACTGCACATAGAAGCGTTTTCATCCAACATCAAATAGAGACCTTGCTGCTCAGAATTTGACTCCTGCAAACAGGGTGCTAGAGTTTCTGGTTGATCCTCCAGATCCCCCAGCCAACTACCCAATCCTTCATTCCCAGTTCCAAACGGTTGACCCTGATGGAAAGCACCCGGTAGGACGCCACAATGAGACCCTCTCACAGCGGCAGGCCTCCCCTCCAGGTATTTTGACATAAACCAGACCCACACGGGGGCGCACTCTTCAATTTAGCCAAGGCAGCATGGGCAGTGTCCTTGTACCAGCACCTGGTCTAATACCATGTGTCATTCTCAAATAAACCGGTCTCTAAAACAAGTACACAACAGAGATTTGTTCCACTTGGCCACTAGTGATGGGGGGGGGGGGGGGGGGGAAATCGCTAGTTACTTATCGGGATATTATTTTTGGCAATATATCTTATTGTTTTGACAATATCGCAATATTATTTTTGCGCTAGTTGGCTGTACCTGCACCAAAATAAAATCACAGTACTGAATCGCAATACATATAGAATCTTGAGAATCGTAATCGTTCTTCGGCACCTAAGTATCGTGATAATATCGTATTGTGAGAGCTCTGGCAATTCACAGCCCTATTGGCCACTAAGCTGACAAATAAACAACCCCTTACCAAAAAACACTTTATGGAGTCAGCAGGGGAGCATCTTTATTGGACTTGGCCTGGGTGATAATGTAATTGCAGGAGCTGGAGAGAAGTTAGCTTAGAACTGAGTGTTCTTCTGGCCTGGGTGTCAGGTGAAACAGACAGGACAGTGTTGAGCCGACAGTCCTGCGATGCAAACACCCTCCATCAGCTCCAAGTGGGTCAGGACATTTAATACTGATCCACATAACTCACACTTAACCCACCATGCCAGGGACTTGCCATTTGACAAACGCATCATTCTTGAGGAGAATTTCAGAGTTTATTGAGTGGCCTCCAGAAACAAAAGACCTAATCATATATCAAAATCTATCCATTTCATTTGGTATCTATTCTAGTCTACATGTGCAATCATCTATCAAGTTGATGTTTGAAGTTCTTCCATTTAATTTCTAATAATTTGAGGTACTGGTAGGGCTGTTACGGTGACCGTATTACCGCCTCACTGAAGGAAGTTATATTCCACGTGACCGTTTGTTTAGTCACGGTAATTCTCCAAACTCTGATGGTGCTGATGGTCATTAGTAGCCTAACAAACTTGCTAACTGCCTGGTACTCAGCACTCTATTGTCCCTCTAATCACTCTGACATCAATGCAAATGTCATCAGAAATCTAATCAAACACTTCATGAGAGCCCATGAGCTCATGTTGCGCAACATTCCTATAGGCTATGCAATTGCATGAGAAAGCAGAGTGATGGCCTCTATTAAAAAGAGGAGGATCCCATCAGCTTTCTATAGGCTAGGCCTACTATATTTATAGTGCCTTCGGAAAGTATTCAGACCGCTTAACTTTTTCCATATTTTGTTACGTTACAGTCTTATTCTAAAATGGATGAAATATGCTTTTTTTCCTCAGCAATCTACACACAACACCCCATAATGACAACGCGAAAACAGGTTAAGGAATTTGTTATGAATGTATAAAAATGTAAAACAGAAATACGTTATTTACATAAAGTACAAGTCAAAAGTTTGGACAGACCTACTCATTCAAGGGATTTTCTTTATTTTTACTATTTTCTACATTGTAGAATAATAGTTAAGACATCAAAACTATGAAATAACACATATGGAATCATGTAGTAACTTCAAATAGCCACCCTTTGCCTTGACAGATTTGCACACTCTTGGCATTCTCTCAATCAGCTTCATGAGGTAGTCACCTGGAATGCATTTCAATTAACAGGTGTGCCTCCTTAAAAGTTAATTTGTAGAATTTATTTCCATCTTAATGCGTTTGAGCCAATCAGTTGTGCCAATCAGTTGTGACAGAAGCTAGCCTTATTTGGTAAAAGACCAAGTCCATATTATGGCAAGAACAGCTCAAATAAGCAAAGAAAAACGACAGTCCTTCATTACTTTAAGACATGAAGGTCAGTCAATACAGAACATTTCAAGAACTTTGAAAGTTTCTTTAAGTGCAGTCGCAAAAACCATCAAGCGCTATGATAAAACTGGCTCTCATGAAGACTGCAACAGGAATGGAAGACCCAGAGTTAACTCTGCTGCAGAAGCTAAGTTCATTAGAGTTACCAGCCTCAGAAATTGCAGCCCAAATAAATGCATCACAGAGTTCAAGTAACAGACACATCTCAACATCAACTGTTCAGAGGGGACTGTGTGAATAAGGCATTCATGGTCGAATTGCTGCAAAAGAAACCACTACTAAAGGACACCAATAAGAAGAAGAGACTTGCTTGGGCCAAGAAACACGAGCAATGGACATTAGACCGGTGGAAATGTGTATTTTGGTCTGGAGTCCAAATTTGAGATTTTTGGTTCCAACCGCCGTGTCTTTGTGAGACACGGTGTGGGTGAACGGATGATCTCCACATGTGTGATTCCCACCGTAAAGCATGGAGGAGGTGTTATGGTGTGGGGGTGCTTTGCTGGTGACACTGTCTGTGATTTATTTAGAATTAATTAGAATTCAAGGCACACTTCACCAGCATGGCTACCACAGCATTCTACAGCGATACGCCATCACATCTGGTTTGGGCTTAGTGGGACTATCATTTGTTTTTCAACAGGACAATGACCTAACACACCTCCAGGCTGTGTAAGGGCTATTTTACCAAGAAGGAGAGTGATGGAGTGCTGCATCAGATGACCTCAACCCAATTGAGATGGTTTGGGATGAGTCGGAACGCAGAGTGAAGGAAAAGCATCCAACAAGTGCTCAGCATATGTGGGAACTCCTTCAAGACTGTTAGAAAAGCATTCCAGGTGAAGATGGTTGAGAGAATGCCAAGAGTGTGCAAAGCAGTAATCAAGGCAAAGGGTGGCTATTTGAAGATTCTCAAATATAAAATATACTTTGATTTGTTGAACACTCTTTTGTTTACTACATGATTCCATGTGTTATTTCATAGTTGATGTCTTCACTATTATTCTACAATGTAAAAAATAGTAAAAATAAAGAAAAACCCTTGAATGAGAAGGTGTGTCCAAACTTTTGACTGGTAGTGTAAGTATTCAGACCCTTTGCTATGAGACTCGAAAGCTCAGGTGCATCATGTTTCCATTGATCATCCTTGAGATGTTTCTAAAACTTGATTGGAGCCCACCTGCGGTATATTCAATTGATTGGGCATGATTTGAAAGGCACACACGTCTACATAATGTCCCACAGTTGACAGTGCATGTCAGAGCAAAAACCACACCATGAGGTCGAAGGAATTGTCCGTAGAGCGCCGAGACAGGATTGTGTCGATGCACAGATCTGGGGGAAGGGTATCAAAACATTTTTGCAGCATTGAAGGTCCCCAAGAACACAGTGGCCTCCATCATTCTTAAATGGAAGAAGTTTGGAACCACCCGGCCAAACTGAGCAATCGGGGGAGAAGGGCCTTGGTCAGGAAGGTGAACAAGAACCCGATGGTCACTCTGACAGAGCTCCAGAGTTCCTCTGTGAAGATGGGAGAACCTTCCAGAAGGATAACCATCTCTGCAGCACTCCACCAATCAGGCCTTTATGGTAGAGTGGCCAGACGGAAGCCCCTCAGTAAAAGGCACATGACAGCCCGCTTGGAGTTTGCCAAAAGGCACCTAAAGGACTCTCAGACCATGAGAAACAAGATTCTCTGGTCTGATGAAACCAAGATTGAACTCTTTGGCCTGAATGCCAAGCGTCACATCTGGAGGAAACCTGGCACCATCCCTATGGTGAAGCATGGTGGTGGCAGCATCATGCTGTGTGGATGTTTTTCAGCGGCAGGGACTGGGAGACTAGTCAGAATCGAGGGAAAGATGAATGGAGCAAAGTACAGAGAGATCCTTGACCTGCTCCAGTACGCTCAGGACCTCAGACTGGGGCAAAGGTTCACCTTCCAACAGGACAACGGCCCTAAGCACACAGCCAAGACAACTCAGGAGTGGCTTTGGGACAAGTCTCTGAATGTCCTTGAGTGCCTAGCCAGAGCCTGAACTTGAACCCGATCGAACATCTCTGAAGAGACCTGAAAATAGCTGTTCAGCAACGCACCCCATCCAACCTGACAGAGCTTGAGAGGATCTGCAGAGGAATGGAAGAAACTCCCCAAATACAGGTGTGCCAAGCTTGTACCGTCATACCCAAGAAGAGTCAAGGCTGTAATCGCTGCCAAAGGTGCTTCAACAAAGTACTGAGTTAAAGGGTCTGAATACTTATGTAAATGTCATATATTTTTAATATATTAGCAAAAATCTCTAAAAAAAACTGTTTTTTCTTTGTCATTATGGGGTAGTGTGTAGATTGATGAGGGGAAAAAAACAATTAAAAATCAGTTTTAGAATAAGGCGTAACAAAATGTGGAAAAAGTCAAGGGGTCTGAACACTTTCCGAATTCACTGTATTTCTCTACTTTCCTAATATTAAGCCCATTGCTTTTCTTAACAACAGGAGTATAGCCTACCTGGCTGGCATGAAAATGAAACACGGGAAAAGCGTCCTCCATTTGCTATTTAAGTGCATAGATGACAAGTATTTTTTCCCCTGTCCCTGTTTCGAGACAGGTGCATGATAATGGTCCATTCTAAATTGAATTCTTTTTCACACATATTATTTAGGATCTGTAAAGACAATATTAAATCAAGAATAGTCTGATGGGTGACAATATTAGCGTATCACTTGTGAATTAGATATGATCACTTGTGAATGATGCCCAGCGTAAGGCAAGATACAATGCCTTTTTCCCCCT